AAGCTATGAAGTTAAACTAGCATACATGTCATATAAGTGTCTTTGGCCCTTGACCTCATTACATATACATCCAAAGAGTGGCAAAAGGTGCACTTAAGTCCACATTCAATAGCTTAGACAATAAATACAAGTTTTTATACAATGCACCAAAAAGGATCATGATATGTTAGCAACTGCATATTCAATATCACCAAAAATTCTCCAAGAATTCTAGTAAGTCTAAGAGTGTTGTGCATCCCACAACAATGCTTCTTTACCTGAAAAACACCTAGTAACTTCGAGTTGAATAAACAAGTCTACTCGTAGGGAATGAGCATGCATAAGTTCAATTTATTACAAAGTTTACAATTCAATAAAATTTAGTCCATGCAATTAAAATGACATTTGGACTTTTAACATAGCACAATAAGATGCAAACATCACAAGGTCATCAAGTTGGAAATTTAAGTGCGAAATCAACTAAAGTGGATACTTGGATATTGCCCAGATTAAAACCGTACTCTTGAGATCACTTTAGGGCTATTAACCCATGGATACCTTCCCCTAGTGTGCACTATAGTATAGGGAGCTCTCTATCTCCCGTACTAGAACCAAGTCCTAGCCAAGTCACGTTCTTGATGATATCCCAAGTTTCCAAAATCAACAAGTAGAGTAATAAGTCATGATATGTGATAAAATACAATAAGTTCCCTGAATTACATGACTAAATAGATCAACAAGATAGAAATTAATTAGGCTAACTAAGTAATTCCTCTAGATTTCAAGAGTTGTCCAAATGATTCCAATTAAATATATGACAAGGAGTAACTCATGGCCATGCCATATATCATGTCTAAAATGGAATTCAAGCATGGAACAATTAAATATAATTTAAATCAACTTAAATTAATTAATTCTCTAGATTTAAAAGCTCATTTAAATCATGCCAAATTAATAAACAACAAAGATAAAGTCATAGTCAAGCCATATATCAAGTCTAAAGTGAGTTATATAGGAGCTACAATTAATCATTTATTTCTCATTTCAATACAAGACATGCATACAACTTGGATATCACTACAAAAACAATTAAATCACTTAAAAAATAAACTATAACACCCCCTACCTCAATAGAGAATTGAATCTCTATAATCCAAGGCATCGAAGCTTAAAAATGGAAAACCAAACAAGGGTTTTATAGAGGAGAGTGAGAGGAATCTAAAGTATTCCAAGCTTATAGGTTTAAGGTAAGTGGAAGGGCACCAAAATGAAGTCTAAAGCTTTAAACCTAGCTTAGTCTTCAATGGTGGCTAGGTTAGGGTTCTTGAGAGGAAAGAGATGAATGAATAAAATGTAATGAAAACGCTAAGTTAAATATGGTGGGATTCTCCACTCACTAGGTACTCTTGCACTACCTCTTACACACACACTTGCAAGACTAAAGGTGAGTCCTACACTTGTCTTGAATTTAAACAAACTGAAAAAATTTAAAATCAAGCCTACAATTGTCAATCATCCATGCCAACAAGTGCTCCTATCCTAGGCGAACAAATGGGTGAATCTCCACACTCCATGTGTCAAGGAGTTAAGCTTCCAAGTTACTCCACCCCAATGCCAACAAGTGGCACCATGAGAGTGTGACACTTGTCACACTTTTCAGAAATTGCAAAAAGGTTCTTTTTGAAAATATCTTCCAAATTAAATTGCAAAATAGTCCCTAAGACAAAAAATAATTACTTTGCATAATTAACCAAAAACCCCTCAAGTTATGAATAATTACCAAAAGTCATGCATCTATGCCCTTTTCAAGAAAAGTAAACGTTTAGCATGTTTTTCTACAAAAGTAAAAATATAGATATCATGGAAACTAAATATCATGGATGTATGCAAAGTCGGAATTAAACCCGAGCACAAAAGTGCGGTTATGCAAGGAAAAATGATAAATGAGAAAAAAATGAAATAGGGAAAAAGACGAAAAAAAGAAATTACCGAAAAAGAAAGGAAGGAAAATGACTGGGTCATTACAACCTACCTTCCTTAAAAGGGATTTCATCCCAGAAATCGAATCGTACCTGAAACAGAGAACAAATGGGGATACCGAGAGTGAACCTGCTGTTCGAGCTCCTAGGTAGGCTCCTCAACGCCGTGGTGTCACCACAAGACCTTAACCAATGGAATGGTCTTGGTCCGCAAGATCTGCTCTGGTGAATCAAGAATCTGGACCAGACCTTCCTCGTAGGTCAAGTCCTCATCAACAACCACATCTGTCTACTGCAAAACATGTAATGGGTCTGGCTCGTTCTTTCTCAGCACAGAGACATGAAAGAAGTTGTGAACCCTATCCAGGTCTGGCGGCAATGCCAAACGATAAGCAACCTCACCGACACGTTCCAAAATCTCAAATGGTCTAATGGACCTAGAAGACAACTTGCTAGTCTATCAAAATCTCAAAAGCCCCTTGCGCGGAGAAATCTTAATAAAGACATGGTCCCCTACCTCAAAAGATAGGGATCGCCTCCTCCTATCAGTGTAACTCTTTTGTCTGCTCTGTGCGGTAGCCAACTGGTGCTGAATCAACTTGATTTTCTCTTTAGTCTCAATAATAATGTCGGGACCTAAGGCAACGGTATCACCGACCTCGGTCCAACAAACTGGAGATCTGCAAGGCCGGCATACAATGCCTCAAAAGGTGCCATCCCAGTACTGGCTTGGTAACTGTTGTTGTAGGAAAACTCAACCAAAGGTAAGTAGTCTCCCAACTACCTTCAAAATCCAAGATACAAGCCCGTAACATATCCTCCAATATCTGAATGGTACATTCCGACTGGACATCAATCTGAGGATAGAATGTTGTGCTGAAATGAAGCCCCATATCAAGAGCCTCCTGAAAACTCTGCTAAAAATAAGACGTGAACCGTAGATCCCTATCCGAAACAATGGATACAGGAACCCCGTGAAGCTTGACAATCTGTCTCACATACAGTCTACTTAGTCTCTCTGCACTATCTGTCACTGCCATGGGTAAGAATTGAGCCGTTTTAGTTAACCTGTCAACTATGACCCAAACGACATCGTTCCCTGCCTGAGACCTCGGAAGTCCTATTACAAAATCCATAGTAATATGCTCCTATTTCCACTCAGCTACTGGTAATGGTTGCAACAATCTTGCCGGTCGCTGATGCTCTGCCTTCACTTGTTGACAAGTATGGCATCGAGCCACAAAATGTGAAAAATCCTGTTTCATGCCCTGCCACCAAAATTATCGCCGCAGATTATGATACATTTTTGTACCACCAGGATGAACTGCAAGCCAAGAGCGGTGAAAATCTCGAAAAATGTCTTCATGACAAGACAAGGGAATAAACATCATCCCTTTGTACCTAAGACCGACGTCTGAATGTAAGGTCCAACCCTCTACATTCTTGCCGCCTGAAATCCAAACATGGATGGCCTTCATCTCCCCATCCTCCAACTGTGCCTCAATAACTCTACCAACAAGAGCCGGTTGAGCCATAAGGCTAAACAAAATAGCCGATGAAGTGTCCTTATAAGACTGCAAACCAAGATCCGCAAACTCTTCTAACATCTTCCATCTATGAATGGAAATGCTAGCAAGAGTCCCCCACGATTTCCTACTTAATGCATCGGCCACTACATTAGCCTTACCCGGATGGTACTGTAACTCAAAGTCATAGTCTTCCATGAACTCAACTTATCTGCGCTATCTCAAGTTCAAATCCTTCTGAGAGAAGAGATACTTGAGAATCTTATGGTCGGAGAAAACTTTAAACTTTTCCCCGTACAAATAGTGTCTCCACCCCTTCAGGGCAAAGATAACTACTGCCAACCTCTAGATCATGTGTCGGATAGTTCAACTCGTGAGTCTTCAACTATCGAGACCCATAAGCAACCACCCGCTCTGTTTACATCAAGACATAACCCAAACCTTCCGGTGAAGCATCACAAAAGATCACACAACCCAAACCACGTTCAGGAATGATCAAAACTGGAGCTGATGTCAACCTGACCTTCAACTCTTGAAAAGCAAACTCACATGCCTCGCTCCATACGAACTTGACCCCCTTACAGGTAAGTCGAGTCATAGGAGCCGCCAAATGAGAGAAATACCGAACAAATCTTTGGTAGTAGCTAGCTAGCCTAAGAAAACTCCGAATCTCAAACACTGTCTTCGGACGCTCCTAATCCATCACTGACTCAATCTTCAACGGATCCACTACAACACCGCCCCTTGACACTACATGTCCAAGGAACTTCACTTTCGGTAGCCAAAATTCGCATTTCTCAAACTTGGCGTACAACCGATTATCCCTAAGGATTTGTAATGTTGTCCTTAAATGATACTCATGCTCATCCACTGAAGCTGAGTATACGAGAATGTCATTAACAAATTCCACTACGAACTGATCAAGATGGTCACTGAATACACGGTTCATCAAGTCCATAAAAGCTGCTGGAGCATTGGTTAAACCAAATGGCATCACTAGAAACTCATAATGGCCATACCGTGTGCGGAAAGCGGTCTTGGATACATCCTTATACTTAAACCTCAATTGATAGTAACCCAACCTTAAATAAATCTTCGAAAAATAAGTGGCTCCTTTCAACTAATCAAATAAGTCATCAATCCTAGGCAAAGGATACCTGTTCTTGATCGTAACGTGATTTAGCTAGCGATAATCGATGCAAAGTCTCAATGACCCATCTTTCTTCTTCTCAAAAAGAACCAGTGCTCCCCAGGGTGAAGCACTAGGATGAATAGAGCCTTTAGCTTTCAAATCATCCAATTGAGCTTTTAGCTCATCCAATTTTGCCGGTGCCATAGAGATTGGTGCAGCATAAGGAATGACGTCGATAGCAAAGACAACTTCTCGAAGAGGAGGAAGCTTTGTCAACTCCTCTGGAAAAACATCCAGAAACTCTACAACAACTGCTGGATAAATGCGGCCCGAACTACTGTCCTCGTCGACTAACAGGCTAGCCAAGTAGGACCTGCGGCAACTCTAGTCACCGATACTGAAAATCATTATTGAGTGGGAATCGCTCCGATCTCCCACGAAGTGAAAATAATCTCCCATGGGAGTGTAAACAGACACTCGCCCATGGAAGTAATCAATCATAGCACAAAAGAAAGACAACCAGTTTATCCCGAGAATGACATCAAAGCCCGTCATATTAAAAATGACGAAATCAAACTCTAAAGTCCGCCCAGCTATCTTGATAGCACAACCCTGACAAATACGGTCTAAAGACACTGGACCCCCAACTGGTGTGTCAACACAAAGGAAACTATCCCGCTGCATAACCTCCAGACCCAAAGAATGTCCAAATGAAGCAGATATGAATAAATGTGATGCACCCATGTCAATAAGAACTCTAGCCCAAGAACTGAAAACTGGAAAGATACCTCGAACTATAGAAGTCCCAACGGAGGTATCGACCTGTGGCAATGCTTGATATGCCCCAACTGCTAACAATGGTGACAAATCACTCCCGGGCTGATCCTGAAGATACAAGAACTATGGGTGCAGACCGAGCCTACTGTGACTGTCCCTGAGTGCGTGAATTGTCCCCGACCTTAGCCTTTTTCCACTGATTCCCAAAAGATGACAGAGATTCACCGCGAGGCTTCTTGTGTAAACCCTTGATCCATAACTGATCCCGTTCCTCTGCCTCAGCTAGCATAGCCCTCGGGACCACCTTTCTGTAAGTCCTCAAATCAAGAATTGAGACCCGTAGCTTGATGTCAAGATGTAATCCATCCTAAAATTTTTATTGCCCTGGCCTCATTTGTCGCCACCATGTCTTCGGCATAACGAGAGAAAGAAGTAAATCGTGTCTTATACTTAATAACATTCATAGTGCCTTGATAAAGACCTATGAACTGTATCCTCATCTACTGCCTTATAGCCCTAAGAAAAAAGCGGTCGAAGAACAATGTCCTGCACTCCTCCCAAGTCATCACCTCCATATCATGGATATTGGTCATGGACCTCCACCAGATATCGGCATCTCCCATGAACATAGAGGTTGTTAAGGAGATCCTCAATCAGTCTATAGGCACTGCCATGCTATCAAGCTTGCGTACCATTAGATCAAACCATGCCTCTGAAGCAAGCGGATCCATACTCCTTACAAATTAGTCGATCTTAACCCTCTGTAACTTCATAAAGTAATCTAATGCATCATTAGCAACTGGTGTCGGTGCTAGTGTTGGTTCCAAAATTTGCATCCCTGCAATATGCTGACGAAACATTTGCTGAATGGACTCTGACATCCCCAGAGCCACTCCCTGCGCAATCTGCTCCTCATAAGTCGGAGCTCGTGGTGGATTAGGACCCATGCCACGAACTGGAATCCTAAGCTTTCCCGGACCCCTCGTAAACTCTATGTCATCAACCTACTCCCTGTCGCCCTGACGTGAAGACTCCCTATGCATGACAACCATGATGTTAAATGTACACAAGGGAAGAGGTCAACAATAACACAAGCTATCAAGACCGAGCCTAACTCACACTATAAAAGCATGTAACACGAAGCAAGACAAGGTAAGCATCCTATGGTCATGCTAAAGCAATCAAAGAAAGCTATTTAAAGGGCTAAGTACTTAAGAAAATAAGCATACATGTCAAACAAGAATACTTTTTAAACACATAAGCATATAAGTATAGAAGACATGTCATTATACCAAGCATATTATCAAAAGGCACATAAACATGTTATCAAAAAGCATGTGAATACACCAAGGTAAATCAACAAAAGCATGATATGCCCCCAAAACCCATCGTCCTAAGGTTTTCAAACCTAGGAGCTCTGATACCACTTGTAACGACCCATGTTTTATTTAACCCGGTGCGGCAGCGGTGACCCGAAAGTAAATCTAACAATGAATCAGAATGCGGATGCAAAGGGTAAAACAATGGTCTCAAGAGATACTACATGTCTATAAGACACCAATGTGGCCCTCAATGAGGTCACGAAACCCAAAGAAAATAATTGTGGAAGCGACGTTTCAAAAACGGATAAGAATGAGTCTAGGGGCAAAACGGTCTTTCCCAAACTGGAAGTGGGTACCACCAAGCACACCATTTTAAATAGAATAAAAAATTAATGAATTTAGACTCAAGATTCACCTGATTCGGAGTTCGTACAGAAAAGATATGAATTTAGGACAAAATGGCCTTCTCAGTTTAGGAATTACCACAACCCTATCTCACTAAAACTATAATAACTCTTACTATGGTTGGCGTTTTGATATATGGTTGGTACCATTGGAATGGTAACTTCAAGCTCTTAAGTTTAGACTCTAGAACGACCTAATTTGCATTAGGAATGAAGAAGTTATGGCGCTCTGAAGTTACTGCAACAATGTTATCCAAGAAAATCAAAAGAGGACGGTTCTAGGGAAGATCAGCCAGCTGAACCTCTATCATTAGCTGAATGACCCCCAATCATTAGCCGACCGAACCCTAAGGATCAGCCGGCTAAAACACCAAAAATCCCAAAAAGGCTATTGGAATTGGTCTCGAATAGTCATCAATCGGCTGATGATTGCTATCAGCCGACCAATGGACCTAGTAGCAGCAGAAAAAGCTACTATAATCCATGGGGAAGGTGCTTGGCTTAGTTCTAAGGCTATGCATGCTTTCCATTTGATCCAAACAAGTTTCAAAACATTCCCTAGCCTCATCCAAGCATCAAAAATATGCTAAATCATAATGAAGCTTTGAATCATATCTCAATGCATGGATTTTGCTTAAATTTTCATAAATCCTCCAAAAATAGTTCAAAAGTTAGAATCCATGTGTATAATGATGAATTAGATGCGCTAGAATGGCCTACGACCTCATGGCATGTCATATGTAAAATATGACCCTTCAATGCATGAAATCCTTTATAGTTCCTAAACAAGCTATGAAGTTAAACTAGCATACATGTCATATAAGTGTCTTTGGCCCTTGGCCTCATTACATATACATCCAAAGAGTGGCAAAAGGTGCACTTAAGTGCACATTACATAGCTTAGACAATAAATACAAGTTTTTATATAATACACCAAAAAGGATCATGATATGTTAACAAGTGCATATTTAATGTCACCAAAAATACTCCATGAATTATAGTAATTCTAAGAGTGTTGTGTATCCCACAACAATGCTTCTTTACCTAAAAAACACCTAGTAACTTCGGGGTGAGTAAACAAGTTTACTCGTAGGGAATGAGTATGTATAAGTTCAATTTATTCCAAAGTTTACAATTCAATAAAATTTAGTCCATGCTATTAAAATGACATTGGGAGTTTTAACATAGAACAATAAAATGCAAACATCACAAGGTTATTAAGTTGGAAACTTAAGTGCGAAATGAACTAAAGTGGATACTTGGATATTTCTCTGATTAAAACTGTACTCTTGAGATCACTTTAGGGCTATTAACCCATGGGTACCTTCCCCTAGTGCGCACTATAGTATAGGGAGCTCTGTATCTCCCGTACTAGAACCAAGTCCTAGCTAAGTCGAGTTCTTGATGATATCCCAAGTTTCCAAAATCAGCAAGTAGAGTAACAAGTCATGATATGTGATAAAACACAATAAGTTCCATGAATTATATGACTAAATCATTAGATCAACAAGATAGAAATTAATTAGACTAACTAAGTAATTCCTCTAGATTCCAATTAAATATATGACAAGGAGTAACTCATGGCCATGCCATATATCATATCTAAAATGTAATTCAAGCATGGAACAATTAAATATAATTTAAATCAACTTAAATTAATTAATTCTCTAGATTTAAAAGCTCATTTAAATCATGCCAAATTAATATACAACAAAAATCAAGTCATGGCCATGCCATATATCAAGTCTAAAGTGAGTTATATACAAGTTACAATTAATCATTTATTTCTCATTTCAATACAAGACATGCATACAACTTGGATATCACTACAAAAACAATTAAATCACTTAGAAAATAAACTATAACACCCCCTACCTCAATAGAGAATTTAATATCTAAAATCCAAGGCTACTAAGCTTAAAAGTGGAAAACCAAACAAGGGTTTTATAGAGGAGAGTGAGAGGAATCTAAAGTATTTCAAGCTTATAGTTCTAAGGTGAGTGGAAGGGCACCAAAATGAAGTCTAAAGGTTTAAACCAAGCTTAGTCTTCAATGGTGGCTAGGTTAGGGTTCTTGGGAGGAAAAAGATAAATGAATAAAATGTAATGAAAACCCTAAGTTAAATGTGGTAGGATTCTCCACTCACTAGGTGCTCTTGCACTACCTCTCACACATACACTTGCAAGACTAAAGGTGAGTCCTACACTTATCATAAATCTAAGCAAACTTCCAATATTTAAAATCAAGCTTACACTTGTCAACCATCCTTGCCAACAAGTGCTCCTATCCTAGGCCAACAAATGGGTGAATCTCCACCCTCCATGTGTCAAGGAATTAAGCTTCCAATTTACTCCACCCCAATGCCAACAAGTGGCACCATGAGAGTGTGACACTTGTCACACTTTCAGAAATTGCAAAAAAAGTCCTTTTTGAAAATATCTTCCAAATTAAATTACAAAATGCTCCCTAAGACGAAAAATAATTACTTTGCATAATTACCCAAAAACCCCTCAAGTTATGAATAATTACCAAAAGTCAAGCATCTATGCCCTTTTCAAGAAAAGTAAACATTTAGCATGCTTTTCTACAAAAGTAAAAATGTAGATATCATGGAAACTAAATATCATGGACGTATGCAAAGTCGGAATCAAACCCGAGCGATTATACAAGGAAAAATGATAAACAAGAAAAAAACGAAATAGGGAAAAAGACGAAAAGAAGAAATTACCGAAAAAGAAAGGAAAGAAAATGACTGGGTCATTACATTTAAAATTAGTTGAAGCTGATTTAAATTCTAGAGAAATTAATTAATTAGTTTAATTAATTTTTATTTAAGTGTTCCACTCATTTAAATAAATATTTGACTTAATATATGTAATGACCATGACAAGATCTTTAACCTATATTATTTTGGTATTATTTGGATGAGATTTGAAATCTAGAATAATTAATTATTTTATTTAATTAATTTCCATTTTTATTGTATTAATAATTTAACCATGTATTTGATGTTGTTTGCATTTTTAAATCATAAATTCGGACTTATATTATATTCATAAGAATATGTCTTTCAATATTGATTATATTGTTGTGGTGTAACGAATCGTACATTAAAGATTCGACATGTGATGTTATTGTTGCTAAGTGTAACGAATCGCACATTGAAGATTCGACATTTTTCATGCCATTGTAGTTGAGGACTTAGGGCATGAATTGAGTGCTTCTAAGATTTGGTTGTGCATAGTAGATAGCTTATTGCTTTGTATATTCATGTTGATATATACTTTTGTGCACAATTTGTTGATTTTGGAAACTTGTGATGTCGTTGTCTTGACTATGACTAAAGTATGGCTCTAAGGCGGGAGGTAAGAATTTTCCCCACATGTGCGCCCTAGGGTAGTTCCCAGCAGGCTAGTAACCCAAAATAACTATTATTATTCGGTTTGATCCGACGTGATGTGCAAGTATTTTCATTTTTAGTTGGTTTCGCATTTTAGATTTCAAGTTGATAACTTTGATAATCTATATCTTATTGCATTGTATTGGAGGTTCCAATGTTGTTA